ACAACAACAACAACAACAACAGCAACAACAACAACAACAACAACAACAACAACAACAACAACAACAACAACAACAACAACAACAACAACAACAACAACAACAACAACAACAACAACAACAACAAAAACAACAACAAAAACAACAACAACAACAACAACAACAACAACAACAACAACAACAACAACAACAACAACAACAACAACAACAACAACAACAACAACAACAACACTTCATTTCATTTCATTTCATTTCATTTCATTTCATTTCATTTCATTTCATTTCATTTCATTTCATTTCATTTCATTTCATTTCATTTCGGACGCATGTGCGGGTCATGTCCCACACCTTGGCGGGCATCGAGGGGTAGAATGACTTGAAATGACGGCTAATTCTAAGTCAACTTGAGCGCTGTGTGTAGGGTAAAGCCTCTAGCAAACGAATGCAAATAGCAGGACAAGAAAAGAAAAGCGCTTTTGTTGACTGTCTTGCCCGGCAGCTGTCGCCAAAAGCTGGGCTAGACTAGCTGCAACACGGAGGTCAGTGGACTAGGAGGAGACCTCACGCGGTTTCACAAGCACGATGTCAATTTTCATCAACTGTACAATGGTGACCCGGCCCGTGCACAGCAGGCAAAACTGCACTCTGCACAAACTAGCTGCAACACGGTGGACTTTAACCAGGAGGGGACCTCACACGATTTTTTGACCAAGTCCGTGTACAGCAGGCAAAAACTGCACCTTGCACTTTACGAACCGACAAGGAAACACGACCTGAAACCCAAAACCCATGAGTAGAGCAGTGCAGTTGTTCAAAAAGCAGAGCAATCAATCAAAGTATTATTCACAGTTCCGGAGGGGTTATCCCCGACTAAAATGCCCGGTCAGTTGAGAAGAAGAGCTAGCGCTTAAGACTATGGGCTGCTGCTACTAGACAAAACTCTCCCGCGCTCAGGCTCTGCTGATGCAGCAGATATGGGCGACGAAACGCGCATGTAAGGAAAAGCAGTAGCTCCAGAGTGGTGCTTATGACTTAAGCGGCTGCTTCAAGAAACTACTGACAACTAAGTGTTTGGCCATCAGTCCAAAGCTGCCAGGTTCCACCCCGTTTGGGGATTACTACTGGTTCAGCTGAGCCATCCGGACTCAAGGCCTAACAAACAAGGCTACAAGGCAGCTACACAACCACAACCTACAATGAGCGAAATGAAGCGGAAAAGTCTGAGCTGTGAAACCCTGCGAAGAAGTTGCGTAGGCTAAAGTTCGCACAGGGACATTGCAATCCTTCAGGAGAGAACTCACTAGGGTGGATTGCTTGCCAGGAGGCGACCTCACTAGAGGAAAATTATGGCTCAGGCCGCTTCTGCTAGCGAAGGGTGGCGTGAGAGCACTGAGCTGGAAACTTAGGCTTGGAGAACGCCTTTTTCAGAGATATTCTCGCTCAGGCCGCTGCCACTGCAGTGTGAGCTAAAAAAAACTGAAATAACAACTGGCAACCAGCTAGCATCATTCTTCAGTGCCTTACCCGACGAACGGGACTACTAGGCCACAGCACTGCCTCACCCGACGGACGGGACTACTAGGCTGCCTTGACCAAGCAAAGAAATGAAAGTTACATCTTGCTGCCTTACCCGACGAGCGGGACTACTAGGCACTGCATGAGCCTGACCCGACGAACGGGACTACTAGGCTGAAATGTTGGCCTTCTCACCAGCATTGATTGGAAGATGTGCAAGTGAAAGTGTGTAGGGCGTTGGGTTCAAGGTGGGTTGGTGTGACGTTGAGAGCACAAGCGCAGCGAAGAAACAAGCCGAGGAGTGTGTAAAAGCGTGCGAGCATAGCTTTCGGGGCTAATACCCTTGCACTGAGTGTCCCAGCGGAGTTCTTTTGGACTGCGTAACCACTCAAGAGCTTCTCCTGGAGCAAGCGGGCCGTCACGACCTTCTCCCCTAGGTCTGCAGCCGCGCCAAGCGCTGGCCGCGCCAGCCCGCCTAGCTTAGTACTGAAGGCTTGGAGTAGAATACATTGAGAAACGTTGGGTAAATGGCTTCCCCTCAAACTAGAAACTGCTGCGCGGCATCCTCAAAGCTGGTGATGAAACGTCAGAAGACTTTCTCGCCTGAACTGTGAACAATACCAGATTTGCAAATACGCATTGGCCAGCGCCGTCCGACTTCAGCTTCCGAGTACCAGAGGCAATGATGAAGGGCCATATAGAGATCTGCCGCTAGCGCAGCAGGGACTCAGGCTTGTCTCCGTCAACTTGGCTGGGGCTCGACAGGCTCCCGTTAGTAGGACCGCTTCGTCGGACAGCATCTGTAGACATGCCACTGAAATATAAACACTGTTGATTGTTGTCAAGCCGCGGTAAGACCTGCGTGAACTAAGAACACCATTGCTCTGCTTTGTGAACCAGAGCATAGAAAAACCCGTCATCCATTGTAAAAGCCTCAAAGTTATCCCCTCTGCCATCCGCTTGTTTCGACTGAAGTGCCGGAGCACGATCAGACTCCCCTCGTCCTGCGGAAAGACGAGAACCCTCACACTTAGGAGTGAAAGATGCAGTCTAGGACGATCTAATGTCTCCCCCCGGAAATGGGACCGGGCCAGCTCGTGGATATGCTGTCTGCGGTTGAATCTCAATTGCAAGAGGCTAAAGCCTCAAAGTGACCATCAGCTGGCAAGAGCTAGAAAGCCTTGAGATGTTAGGTGGGCCCCGAAAGCTGTTGAAGAGATGAAGTTCGGGGCCTTGGCCGGTTCGACAGCTACCACGCGCGGGCGGCTTGAGCTGGTAGTGCTTCAACAACAACAGCAACAACAGCAGCAACAACAACAACAACAACAACTACAACTACAACTACAACTACAACTACAACTACAACTACAACTACAACTACAACTACAACAACAGCAACAACAGCAACAGCAGCAACAACAACAACAACACCACCACCACCAACAACAACAACAACAACAACAACAACAACAACAACAACAACAACAACAACAACAACAACAACAACAACAACAACAACAACAACAACGACAACGACAACGACAACGACAACGACAACGACAACAACAACAACAACAACAACAACAACAACAACAACAACAACAACAACAACAAACAACAACAACAACAACAGCAACAACAACAACAACAACAACAACAACAACAACAACAGCAGCAGCAGCAGCAGCAGCAGCAGCAGCAACATCAACAGCAACAGCAACAAGAACAACAACAACAACAACAACAACAACAACAACAACAACAACAACAACAACAACAACAACAACAACAACAACAACAACAACAACAACAACAAAAACAACAACAACAACAACAACAACAACAACAACAACAACAACAACAACAACAACAACAACAACAACAACAACAACAACAACAACAACAACAACAACAACAACAACAACAACAACCCCACCCCCCCAAAAAACAAAATGTCTGGATTCTTGGGAACAGACTCCGGAACCAAGTTCAGACTCCGCAAAATGATTACTGTAAAACTGCAAGATAAACCGCTTAAAACCATGCCCAAGCCTTAGCTTTCCTGCCTCCAAATCTTAAAACTTGCAAACCCTCACTTTGGCACCCCCCTCTTGTTTTCAAGCCCTCACTTTGGTAGTCCCGTAGCCACAACCCCCAAACCCTTTAGACTCCCTTGGACCCTAGCAGCCCCCTCAGGCCACGGACTCCCAAGCTCCAGGCCACATCATGGCAAGCTTCAGGAACACACGGGCCACCGCTGGCTGGATGGAAGCGGCGGGCTATTTCAGGGTTTAGCAGGTTAGGGGTTTAGGGTTTAGGGCACGCTGCAAGAGTGTGCTGTAGGAGCCGCTGATTAAGTGGCGCCGCTGATTAAGTGGCCTAATTCAGGTTTAAGTATCTAGAGCACGCTGTACGAGTGTGCTGTAGCGCCGCTGATATAGTGGCGAAATCGGCGCTCTCGCATCTGTCCGGTCCCCCCTGGTGTGGCACATCTTTTTCTGACTGAAGATTGATGTAAAACTGATACTACACATACATCGTATAAATACATCCATCAAAGATAAAAAAAGTAAATAGGTATATATATATATATATATATTTATTTATTTATATATATACATGCATATTTATTTGTCATCTTCAAATATTGTAAGGAGGACGTGCCAACATCGATTTCAGTCCTTCCATGCGGCAGGAGAGCGAGCAGGCTCACGCGGGCCACGCTGCATCTGTTCCTGGGCTGACATTGGCTTCAGGGATTTTAAGCACGGCTCAGAATGCATTCGTATCCGGTCAGCGCCATTTTGGGATGAGACCCGCTCAGCTCCGTCCGGGGTTTGGATCTCGAGATTCCCGAAAACGATAAGCCCAAACTAAGATAAGATCATTGCTCGGCATATGACATCACAGTCCCGACCCGCGGAGATGCACTAGCCAGCACAAGCACCAGAGAGTTCCCTTCTAGTTCTAGAGCAAACTAGTGTGACATACTGCCTCAAAAAACCATCCTCTGGGCTCCAAAAGTGAAGTGCTCCAAAAGCGAAGTGCTGCCAGGGGAATCTGTTTCTGTGAAATCTAACATTGCTGTTGCGCCCCACTAAACTGAGCATCGATCCCCCCGAGCACCTCGGTCTGTGACCCATGGCCCCCTCAGATATTCATGTGGCTGGCCAGCTCAGCCTTTGGTGTTGTCGGTCTCCTGCTTCAAAAACAACTTCGAAGCTGCGCGATGCTTCTGGGAAACACCTGAGCTGGTCCTGCTTGGCAGTCTTCGGAATCGGCTGCATCGTGACGTGGTCAGATGTCTCCTGAGGATGGCAGGAATCTTCGTCATACAGAATCACTAGGTTAGCAAAGATTCCAGACAATTGCTCCATTGCTCCATAGCAAGAAGTCCTCTTCGGCTTTTTTCTTTTTGCCCCTCTTCTTCTTACCATCCTGGTGGCAGAGCGATCTACAGCCACCGGGTCCCAACATGTCCCAGTATGTCAGCAGTCCTCGGAGCCAGCGGCTTCTGTCACCTTTGGGGGGTTTTGGCGCAGGTAACGAATTCACGAATGACGATAAATTCCCATGACAAGTTGAGGGTTTGAAGGCAATTCGTAAGAGTCCAGCCTTCGCAGCTGTGTCTGTCCGCTTGCCCTGTTTCTCGTCTTTTGCTTTAAGGGCTTGCTTGTCCGCGTTGGCCTTCTTGTCCTTCTTCTGCGCCAAGGCCTGAAGCAAGGCTGCAATTAAGTTCACACTGTCTCAAGATTGACACACACTGCCGGCCTTGCTTGCGGCTGTCACCCCCTGGAGCTTCTCAGTCGTTGCCCTCAGCTCCTTCTCGGACTTCTCAAGCCGGGCCTGGAACTCCTTGGTTACCTTCTGCACTGACTCATCGCCGTCCTTCTTGGCCTTCTCTGTCTCGTCGCGGGACTTGCACAGATCTGTGTCCTTGTCCTGGAGCAGCTTGACCCAATCTGCATGGCAGGCCTGCCACTCCTGGAGAAGCTTGTCCTTGGCAGCCACTGCCTCCTTCAGGCCTACGATCTCCCCTTTCTGGCTTGTGATCTGCTCGGACTGGGACAAGAAGTCCTTGCTCAACTTGTCGATCTGCTCATCCTTGGCAGCTACCCTGCTTTTGCAGTCGTCTTCTTTCTTCCTGATCGCCTCATCTTGCTCCATCTTCATCACTTTCTTCTCAACCTCGTGATGGCTCCGAACATCGCTGAGCTGGTCTCTCAAGGCCTTGTTCTCCAGCGTGAGCTTGTGGATTTTCTCACGGCGCTCCTGCGAGGCGTCTTTTGGTCCTGGTGTGGTCTTTCGCACTCTGGGAGCATCACGACAACTTGCCACCCCGTTGTCCTTGTCCTCTGGCTGCTCCTCTTTGACCTGCTCCGGTAGGGGCCGCTGTTGCTGTCCTTGCATTCCTGGCTGCACTTGCGGGTGTGCCTGGCCTTGCTGGCTGGGCCACTCCTGCTGTCCTTGCGGTACGTGTGGCTGGTAGCCATGTCCAGCCGAAGTACGCCCGTCCCAAGTCCAGCCATTCGAAGTCTGCCCGTGACCACTCCAATCTTGATCACTCAACCATTGATCACTCCACACTTGATGACTGGTCTGGTCACCGCACTCTTGCCACCATTGTGTCCAGCCGGCCATGCTGGGGGCTGTGACACCTTACACAGGCGTTGACAAAGCCCCGAGGGCCTGTAAGATTTCGAGAAAAACTCGAGCCTGGTCTTAAGCGCGTGAAGAACAACACTTGCAGGTTGCCCTACCTGGCCCTACCTGATATGCCTTCTAGGCTGTTCTTGCTTCAGACTGCTCGTAGCAACAACCCACGCAATCCCACGCAAGCAAGCCGAGGCTGAGTCATCAAGGCGAAGACAGGCTCAAGTGACTTCATCCGCAAGGTCCTGGGCAGCGGTTGCAGCAGTGAAGTGTTGAGGCACTTACTTGGTTCGGTGGGATTCCGCTAGGAGACACATGTCTAAGCCCATGCCTAAGAGTGGAAGCTGCCGCTGCTTAAGTGGCTAGAGCGATTGTAAAGATCTCAACGGGAACTCGCTTAAAACGAGGCATGAGGCTATCAATGCCCGGCAGCCGTCGACGTCGACGCACAGCAGGATCGGATGGGCTTGTTCCTCGCCTGACGCAGGGTGCTCATGTCTCGTGAAGGTCACAGAATTCAAAGCGTGCTTTTGCCAGTTTTGCCACTTAATCAGCGGCGTGTGCACTTAATCAGCGCTCTGTCTCAAATCGCACTTGAAGCAGAATGAAGTATAAGTAGACTCAATTCTATGGCCCGCGCTGCAAGGGTAGTTTAGCAACTGCGTTCAAAATACAACCTTCTCGTGAGGACACAGTGTTCCGTTGGCCTGCCGGCTTCTCTTGGGCTTCTCGCCTGCATCACAACACGGACTGGGTTGAGGTAGTATTAGATTGACCATTAAGTCAGTTTTAGGGCGTCAGCTTTTTCTGATGTTCGATCGTGTTTGCAGGAAGGGGATTGCAATCAGTAGCCAAGAAGACAAATAAGCAGCTCTAAATGCATAACCCTGTCGAGGCTTTGCTGGGGTTTCAGAGAAGATGCTACTCATTGGAATTGTCGATTGATTGCGGTTTATTCCCTAAGCAATAAGTAGGGCTTTAACGTACTAGTGTTCGGCGATGTTCTAAGAATTATCAAGTTCGGTTGGGGTGGTGCTGTATTCGCAAGAGGTTACCTCCAGGAGGCACGGGGCAAGGCAACTTCGCAAGGTTTTAAGTGACGTGTGCCTGGTTCTGATTGCGAAACCAGCCAGCCCTCGTATTCTTTTTGTACATTCCAGGGTAGAACAAAGTGGTAATTACGATTCAAGACCAGACAGACAACTGACATTGAGCTTAGAACGTTTTCTCCCCATCATGTTTCCGCGGGTTGCGCGCGCATTGCAGCGCAAAGACAGGCGAGCTTTGCTTTCGGAGTTCGCTGACTATGCCCTAGCACAGAAAGAGTGCCTAAAGGAGACGTGGGCGGAGCGGAGTTTGCTGGAGGATGGCCTCCGTGCTAATGGCCTCATGCGGCAAGAAACGGTCTCTGATGGCAATTGCGGGCTGCACGCCATTCTATTGAATCTTCTCCGGCTGGAGTTGCAGACCGAGCCTGCAAGTGGCATCTTGTCTCTAATCGAAAAGAAGGGCCTGGGTGCTGCGTGCATGGCGCTACGCCTCAACCTGCTCCTGTGGATCAGAGATCATGCAGCGGAAGAGCTGGTGCCATCTGTCTCAATTTCCGATTGGGTCGAGATGGAAGGCTACGACAATCTCTCAGGTTATATTCAAAATATGAAGCAGGACAAAACCTGGATTGATACCATCATGCTTCACGCAGCATCGGCTGTTTTTGGGCTTCAGATTGTCATTTTCTTGGACAATGGCAAGGGTCATCTGCTGGCTTCGCAGGACGTGCAAAAGAGAAACTCGGCACACGTGTGTCTTCTTGGCAACACAGGCAATGTACACTTCTTTGCAGCCGAGCCTGTACCTGCCGAGAACCTTGCCCCCTCGAAAACGTCGTCAGATATGTGGGCCCAGCAGATTCAGCAGGCGCCTTTGCCCGGGAGAAGCGATGATGAGTCGGATGGCAGCGCCAGCGACATAGAGATGCCGTCAGTGCAGCAATCCCATAAGGAAAATACCTTTCGGCTCTGCACCGCTCTTCTTCATTGGGATCCATTTGGCCCTGCAAGTAGCAGCGCTGAGATTGCTGGACTTATGAAGGTGCTGGAAGGCTCACATGACCAAACAGAGGGCATTACACAAACTTTGCAATGGAGGGCCGCGCTGAAGCTATTGCAGCATGAGCAGCGCGAGGAAGCTGTGGACCGGTCCTTCCATCTGGAGTTGGCGAGGATAAATGTCCTAAACCAGAAGGCGATTGCGTATGAGAAGTCAAGGGCGCTGGCCGCGAAGCTCTCGTTGTGTGCCATTAAGAAAGGGCTGGCTGGCCCTTGCCAGAGGCATAATTCGGAACACAAGTGCCTTCATTTGTTCAGGCGCCAGCCTCTGCTGTGTTTGCGATGGCGCAAGCTCTGGCTAAGCCTTCCCAAGGTCGATCGTGAACAACGTCTCATCCAGCATTTTGCCAATCAACAAAAGGAGGCTGAAGAGAATGAGTTTAAGACGCAGTACACTGTTTTCGGGCAAGCTGTTTGCAGGGATGCCTTCATTCGCATCACGGGCATCCACGCGGATACGCTGCAGCGAGCACGCACGGCAGCTGTTGCCGGCATGTTGCACAAGCCGGAATCTGCCGCGTGGCGATTGCGCCGAGCCCCGGCCTATCTCGATTGTCGAGCTTGGCTTCTGGACTACGCGCGTCTTCATGCCGACACAAGTCCATTGAACACCAACCTTTGGCTGCCCTATGCCCGGAAGCACTTCTTCTGGTCAGCCTATGTGCACGACTGAGCCTCGGCTTTCCAACATATGGTGTATTCTGGGCATTACTTTTTGTTATTCTTCAAATGTTGTGGTTGCTGTTTGCTCCGTCATGATTAAACACCGCGCGACAGCTATCACCCTATAGCTTGTCATAGACTCAAACCCTAAACCAAACATTTGGAAAATGCTGACCCAGCTCATTTTGTGCTAAGCCGCTGTTTAAGTGGCAACTAATTAGGGTTTGCAGGGTTTAGGGTTTCGGAGTACAAGGCAATTTCGCATAGTGGCAATGGTTTGTTGTCCTGGTTGTTGCTCTTTTGGACTCCTGGGTTTTGTTCGATTCAGGGTTTTGGGTGAAGTTAAGGTAGATACATAAGTACAGGTACAGTTAGTGCCAGAGGGTAGGGGTCTGCCCGCGGGGCCTTTCGCATGCCAGCGACTTCCGGTTTCCATGGCATGGGGAAGCATGGAAGATTTCGAACCTTGCGATGACGACTTCGACTTCGACGACTTCGTGCTCTTCCGCCAACCAGGAGTGAACCCAAATAAGAAGAGAAAGGCGGAGGTGCATCGTGACCGATCAATGGTCGATGTTTCCGGCGCAATCGAATACAGCTTCGGCGTCTCCGTGCGCCTCGCACAAGGTCGGAAGAACCAGAACCGTGACAGAGCATCGTCTGTCTTGAAGCCCGAAAGGCGGTTGTCAGCAACCTCGACTTCGACTTCGACTTCGACTTTCCCTAAACCCATACCGTAACCCCTAGCTGACCCTAACTGACCCTAAACTAAAGACCCTACAAACCCTAAGGACCCTAAGGACCCTAAGGACCCTAAGGACCCTAAGGACCCTAAGGACCCTAAAGACCCTAAAGACCCTAAAGACCCTAAAGGCCCTCAAGACCCAAAAGACCCTAAAGACCCTAAAGACCCTAGAGACCCTAAAGGCCCTATACAAAGGTCCTGAAGGCCCTGAAGGCACTTAACACCCTAAAAACCCTAAACTCTCAACGCTTGTAAATCGCTGACCCAAGTGTGTCTGTGCTACGCCGCTGTTTAAGTGGCAACGCAGCTGCTTCAGCTGCCTGAAGTTTCAAGTTTATAGTGGTGTTTAGTTACTGAATTTAGGGTTCTCCTTCTTTTCTGCTATTCTTGTCATTCTGTTGTCTTTCGGCGGCGCTTGTGAAGTAAGGCAGGCAGAAGCAGAAGCCGGACGAACAAGTGGCTGGCCTCAAGTATTTTCTCAAGGTTTGGAGAACAGAGCTGCCGTGGATCAAGCGTCGTCCAACAGCTGGCCCATTCACGCATTGTGGATTGTGTGATTACCTGAAGTGGCAAATCGGCAGTTGCTCAGACAAGGGTCTAAGGCAGAAGCTACAAGGCATCCTTGGCGAACACTTCCAATTTCAGGCGGCGCAGAGAGTGGCCATGAGCCAAATCTTCCGAGAGTCCGAAGAGCATCCTGAGGACGTGCTGGCTGTGGCTTGGGATAAGATGGACCAAGCGAAGACCATCGTGCCGCGAGTTGTGCGGTTGGCGAACACACAATTCATGAAGGGTGGATCTCGACTGGTGGTGTCTTTAATTGGCGTGCTGGCGCCGGCTCTGTTCAAGCAACCTCTTGTCTACACCATACTTGAGGATCAGACGCATGGCGGGGATATGATAGCGAGCATGATGATCGACATCCTTCAGGAGGCAGCTGCAATCCGGGGCGAGCTCCCATCAAGGCTATTCATACAAGCAGACAACACAGTAAAAGAAACGAAAAACACGATCTGCCTTTTTGCTGCTGCGTGGCTCCTTGCGCAATTGAAAGGAACAAGGCTGCAATCCATTGAGTTCGGATATCTGGTTGTTGGCCACACACACGACTTGATTGATGCCATGTTCGCCTACATCTCAAAGGCGCTGGCCGGGCGAGACTTTTACAGCCTAGAGGAAATGATATCTATTCTACAGCGTGTCATGAAATCTCCCCCGTTCTGGAAGCACTTACGGGATGTATACGCGTTCAAAGATGCCCAACCTGAGAAGCTTTCCAGCAAGAGGGTCACAGGCGTTACGCAGCCCAACAACGTGCGAATTTTCTGGGGCAAAGATGGCAGCATTCTTGTTCAGTCCAAGCAATGGCTGACTTCCCCCGACTGGGGAGAAGCAATGGTCTTGGTGGAGCAGTGTGACATTCAACAATTGACGCAATTGTACCCCGACATAGTGCAACCTGACTGGGAGGAGGGTTTTGAAAGGAGATCTGCGGCCTGGTTCAAAAAACTTGGTGACTTGCTTCTGTGTCTCTGATATGGCAGCTTTTCTTCATGTGCGGTGTCTCACACCTTTTGAAGTTTGACCTTAGTATGTAGACGAGATATATGCTTAGAGTTTAAAGTTTCCTGTTCTCTTGCGTTTGTGATGATGTGGGAGAAGGCTCGATGCCAAAGGGCGCCCGACAACTGGCATCCAGCAGTGCCTTGCGTTGCTGCGGCATGAGAACCCTCGCTTTTTGCCCAGCGGACAGACGTTGGGAGATCGCATCTTGGCCATACGGCGAGCCATAGATGGCAAGAGACAGGACACATCCAGGACTGGAATGGCTGATTTTTCTGCTGGATTGCGAGAAGCCATGGCTGCGGCTTTCCCGGGGTCGTCAAAAACTGTCCGATCAGGGCAGACTGGGCTTCTGAGAATTCTTGGGGCACGCGCCCCGGATGACACTGGCTTCTGCCAAGATGAGCTTGAACCTGGCATGCTTGCAATTTTTGCCTGCAAGAGGAGTGAAGACTTGCCAATACGCGTGGGCAAAGTGCTACGTCTGATGCGCGAGACAGGTCACGAATGCACTGTTTTCCTGGAGCCTTGGGAGCCTATCCTAAAATCAGACGCGGGCGGTCGACTCAATGTTTTTGGAACGTGGGCCCCACCTGGATCTGCGCTTGCAGAGGGCGCAAGGCGCAAACGCAGCAGAAGAGAAATGGCAGTTCGCACAATCCCTGCTGCAGACGTGCTTGTCTGGCCGGTGGTTCTAGACAGGAAGGAGGGGCAAGAGCCAGCGGACGAGAGCGGCAAGCTGCCATTCTCAGCCTTACACTACATGCGTGAGTGTGGTGAAGCAGACATGAGCTCCAAGCGTTTTACTTTCAGCAAGAGAGGGCAGGCCTTTTACCAGCAGGTCGTGAAGCGGGCAGCGCAATACATGCGTGACGCGGAGTAAAAGAACGGTCCCCCATCCAAACTTCAGCCTGAGCGTTTTCCCCAAAAGCCACGAATCCACGAATGCCACATTTCCCGTGCTTATTGGACCTGTTTTATCTTGACAGGGCAAGGGATTCAGAGTTTCAGTGTCGGCTATCAACAGTCGACCCAAGAGAACTTCAATCAAACGTTGACCCCTGCAAAGCCCAATCGTGAACCTTCTTCAGCCTGAACCCTGAAGGACTGACGTTAAGTTTAGGGTTTAACTTGCAGCCACCCGCCCGATCCTGCAAGATATAGTAGCCTCCTAAATCTTCGCCTGCCCGATCCTCCTACTCCCACAGCCCGAAGACTTTCAGACACTCATGAAACCCGGCGCTCCTTCTAGCCCTTACTTCAAACCCACCATACCCACCCAGCCTCAGGCAGGAGCCATCGCCGTGCGCAGGCCCGGGGCACGGGCCTTTTGTGCCGAGGGTTGGGGGCAGGAATAGAAATAGAAACTTAGAGCGCCTGAAACTCTTTGCAAGCAGCAGAGATCAATTTCATACACAGCCGGTGGACGGTATATGCATTAGCGTGCCTGCTACACATGGCAGAACAGCATGTGTGACTTTTCACACACAATCGAAGATGGAATATCTAATTGGAGAGAACTGCATTTGCCCAAGTCAGTACCTGAGAGTGGCTCACAACTGCGCCCTTCGAGGTTGAAACGCCTCTCTCAAAAAGCTTCTGGCGGATCTTGGCCAGGTCGCCCTTCTGGATGCTCTTGCTTTTCAAGACGCTGCGGATCACGCTCTTGATGGTCTTCCCCTCTTTGCCTTCCAGGCGATTCGGCTTGCCGCCCAGCTTGGGAGCGCCCTTCATAGTGCACTTTGTGGTCTTGGCAAGGTTGATTTCTCGGCCCTTCTTCAATCGAGCAACTGTCTCGCTTCTGTGAAACTCCGAAATTGCCCCAATAAGTTGCCGCACTAACTTTGTGTGTGGAGATTCATCGGGTTGGAAGTGGTCGGGGTTGGACACAGAGATCGCAGTCACACTCATGTCATGAAGGAGGTTGAGTGCCAATTCTTGCACAACCACGCATCGTGCCAGTCTGGAGGCATCTTCAAAGAGTATGCTGCCGATGTTCTGGCTCTTGGCATACTCAAGCATTCTCATGAAGCCCGCTCGCTTCTCCACAGGCGCTGTGCCCGAGACGCCTACATCGGAGAAGAGGCCGGATTTCTCCACTCGAAGCCCTGCTTGTTTTGCAAAGGATCGGATAGCCTGCTCTTGTCTCTGCAGACTTGTTTTCCCTTGCCCACAATTGGTTTTGGAGGAAACACGCAAGTAGCCCACTGCTTTCTTCATTTCGCTGCGGCCTCAGGACTCCGCTGCACAACTTGAGGTAGTAGGGAATGCAGCGGCGTTGTTCACGTGCAATCTGGGTTTAAAGCCCTTGTCAGGATCGATTGTAAGAAACCCGACGCCGCTGATTAAGTGGCAGGTTAGTGGCAAGGGCTCTGGTTCTATAAGTGCCTAAATCCGAGTGCCGCTGATTTAATGGTTTTCGGGAAATCTGAACCGTACCTACTCTGTAGAGAGCACACAGAAATCCGACTAGAAGATTTCTAGTCGCAAGAAGGATTTGCGCCTAGTAGATGCCACGGACATCATCGGATGAAATGCAGGCCCAGGGCTGCCACCTGTGTGGTTTTAGGGGTGTTAGGTTTACGGTTTAGGGTTTAGGGTTTGGGGTGTAGGGGCTCCCTTCCTTGTGTTGTGGCTGTGGGTTGCTTTAAGAACTTGAGGCTCAGGGTTCTGCAAGGGATTTGGGGTTTTAGGGGAAGCTTTTGGTTCAAGTTTTTGTTCGTCGTCGTTACGAGGGTTTTAGGGGCATGTTTTTCTTTAATTACTCTCCGGGACAGGGGGGGGGGAAGCGGGGAGGGGGGGGGATGGCCCAAATTTTGTGGTCAACTCAACAAAATGGTCGGATTCGGCTGTGAAAATTTTGTGGGTTGACTCGATTGAAGGGGGAGGGGGAGCGGGGGGCGGGGCGGGAAGGGGGGAGGGGCGAGAAGGGAGTGGGGGAGGAGGGGGTGGGAAGGGGGGGGGTCAGAAATAACCGCACAGGCGTGGTGGGCGTCGGACACAAGGCGTCGGACGCCGGTGTTGGGCGTCAGACACGGGGGCGTCGGACGCGGACGTCAGACGTCGGAAACAAAACTGTCGGACGCCAGTCCTGGCCGTCGGACACAGGCACGTCGGACACAAGGGTGTCGGGCGTCGGACACAGGGGCGTCGGACGCCGGCTTTGGGCGTCGGACACAGGCGCGTCGGACGCCGGCGTCGGGCGTCGGACACAGGGGCGTCGGACGCCGGTGTCGGGCGTCGGACACAGGGGCGTCGGACGCCGGCGTTGCACGCGCAACGCCGGCGTTGCACGCACAACGCCGGGAAAAAACATTCCGAAACGGGCTCTCTCTCCCTGCCAACCACCGGGGCCTTTCCGGGAGTCCCAGGCCAGAGAATATATTATACTTTGGCTCCCCGGCGTTGCGCGCGCAACGCCGGGGGGATGGGGTGCGCAGGTTGCACACCCCGACTCCCGGAAAGGCCCCGGTGGTTGGCAGGGAGAGAGAGCCCGTTTCGGAATGTTTTTTCCCGGCGTTGTGCGTGCAACGCCGGCGTTGCGCGTGCAACGCCGGCGTCCGACGCCCCTGTGTCCGACGCCCGACACCGGCGTCCGACGCCCCTGTGTCCGACGCCCGACGCCGGCGTCCGACGCGCCTGTGTCCGACGCCCAAAGCCGGCGCGCCCGTGTGTTCCAAGGCTGGCGTCTGCGCCTTGTGTTTTTTTGTGTCTTTGCCGTCTTGCATCTCTGGCCTCCCCGCCGAAATCAAAAACATTACTTGGCAACCCCCCCCCCCCCCCCCCCACTCCCTTGTCTGGGTGAGGTAGCTTTCGTGGAGTTGATCGACAAAATTTGGCAGCCAATCCTAGGCTGCAAACGTCCGAGCAGTTTTGTGGGTCAGGAATATTTGTGGAGTTGACCCACAAAATTTGGGTCTCCAGTCTTTACTTTCATAGCCTCCTAGGCTGCGCAAATCCGACCAGTTTTGTGGGTCGGTAGCTTTTGTTGAGTTGACCCACAAAATGCGGGGCCTTCCCCCCCCCCCCCCCCCCCCCCCGCAGAGTCAAGAAAAACATGACCGAGCCTAAAACCCTCATACGACAGCCGCAGGAGTCAGCCTAAACCCTCAAACCCTGTAAACGAATCGAAATAAACTGTGATAATAGCCGCCCCAATCAACTGAGTTCACAGAATAACTGGAAAGCTTTGATTTTGGGACTAGAGATAGCAAGGCCCAGTGCAACATCATTAATTCAGATATAGAGGTGACACTTCTTAACGCCACATCTTTCTAGCAACAGGGACAAGACCTGCTGTCTCGATTTGGTGCCTCTTCGGATCTGAGCTTTGCGCAGCCGAGGCCAGCTGTACTGCGGCAACCTTTGGAGAGGCCGCGAAGACTCTAGAAGTATTGAGACACGAGGTTTCGTGGGTTCTAGGAGCGCGCAAACCCCAAATCAATCAAAAACAAACCTGAAGCCTGCAGTGATGGAGGTGGGTTTCGGGCTTGCTTCAGGCTAGACCCTATAAACGCTGTTCGGAGGTGCTTGTACCTTTGTTAAATTGGGATGCGCTTGTACTCGTTCAATTCCTGTAGCCTGAACCAGACCCATCCCCACACCGTAGCCCGAAACTTTTGCAAAAGGCTGAGGGCTTAAGCTTGCGAAGATGAAGTTTAGGCCTTGGAAAACGCCCAAAGGCCTGTCGGATGTCGTAATCATTTTGAAGACCCCTCGGGTCCGAAGGTGGAAGCGGGTTTGTTCCAGCAAGTCTGTTGCGCACTGCCACTTAAACAGCGGCGTCGCCGTAGATCACACTAGAATTTCAAGACAACGCATCGCTGTTGTCCAGTCAGTGTGTGTGTGTGTGTGCGCAGCATTGGCCTTGCACTTGCCTCTGTTGGTTCAGAAAGAGATCATATGGTTGCTGCGTATTGATATGGTAGATAAGTAGATAATAGGGGGTAAATCAAATGATGCTTCAGGATTGAATGGACACATTCTACCCTCAGGATCTAAAACAAACAATTGCAGAAGGCTCCTTCCTGTTCCAGATTGCTTCGGCTTCCGCGCGCCTGAGGCAAAGGATGGCTGAAGAGCTTGCACCAGCTCTCGCTCGTGAGACCCCCGCGTGGGTCACGGATCTTCTTTCGCTGGCCAAGAAAGATTTCAAGAAGAACGACCCCAAGAATTGGGATGAGTGCAAAGCGGAGAAGGGTGATTTCACGAAGGAGGTTCCCTTGTGGGTGCTGGACTACGATGCCATGCCCATTCCATCTGTTTACCCTTTGCTGGAAGCGGTGAAGCAAGCAAAGGAGCACTGGTATGGGGACCGCGCTGATCAGACATTTCCCTTCCCTCCACCGGGAGCTGTTCTTCAGGTGGCAAAGTTCAATGCCCCGCTGACGGACGCGGACTGTGGCAAGCTACAGCGCGAAAATTTGGACATCGTATTCCTTGCCTGGCTCATGAGGTACAGGGAGGTTGTGGAGGCAGGAGACAATCGCTCGGTGGCACACTTCCGGAAGGCCAGCTTGCACGTGCTCATGACTGTGAAGTTTCGGGCCAATGAAGGCGAGAAGCTGGCCAGGGCCTACCAACTTCGTGAAGATGAGGAGAAGAATGCAAACATAGCAGGGCACAGCCTGCTCAGCCGGGCGCGCGAGCTGAATACCATCCAGGAGTGATTGTTTGCCGTTTTCTTTTTTCGATTAAGGACACAAAGACAGCAAGTATCAAGCTCTAGATAATCAAGCTTCTTTTCTTGAAATGCTTTGGCAAAAAGGAGCATCTGGCAAAGACGGGCGGAGGGGCGGCGCAGAATCTGCTGGACTACATGCAGCAGCACAAGGTCGTGTACGGCACCGCTGACTCCACACTGAATGTGCAGTCCATCCGCCTTCATTTGCGCGTGCTGCGGCGCCTGTCCATGAGTGTGGAAGACAGTTCCGCGCCAAAGTACCAAGGCTCCGCCTTGTACTTCTTCGATCGGAATGAGGAGCTGTTTGGCCGAAAGGCGCCGCAGGTGGTCCTTCAGGAAAGCTCGCGAAGCTTCGACTCCTTCCAGTCCGCCCTCCAGAACCTGGACGACTTGCGGGAAGCCTCCAAGAATCTTCACTTGTTGCTTCTTCGAGGCTGCAACGTGAAAATGACTGGGCGCGGCATTCCGGAGCTGGCAAGAGGTTTGGTTTTGTACAGCAAAATCCCGGCAGCACTCCTGCCGCGCTTCCCCAAGTACTCGGACTTGCTGAAGCCCTTCGCTGGTCTGTTGGAGTTCCACCGGCATTTTCCAGAAGGGCTGGAGGAGACTTGGGGCGATTCTGTTAAGACTTTTGATGATTGATTTTTGTTAACTCCTGGGACGCTGCTCAAGTGTCTGCGCCGCTGACTTAGTGGCAGAGCCGCTGAAGATCTCATCCCTCTGTTGCCAAGGAGTCTGGCCAGCCCGTTGTCCGAGACAACGTGTACCCAATCTTTGCCCAGGAGTCGCTGGACAAGCTTACGACCCAGGTTCTGATCCCGCTCTTCACTTACAAGAAGCACAGCGCCGTGGTGGGCGGAGGCAGTCCTTTGGGCGTTGCGTTTGTGAAGAGCCTCCTGCCGGAGCTGGAGAACATGTATCAGCAGGAGCAGGCCCGTGAGGTGATGGCGCAAGGAGGGAGCAGCTTGAACTCGCTGCCTCCGGCGGACTCCCAGTCGGAGGAGCCCGTCACTGAGGAGGAGGCAGAACCGACATTTCCCGAATAGTTGTGCTATTGGTAGTCTTTTTCTTGTTTCGTGGTGAGCAACCTATTGAATAGAATTCTTGTTTGGTGGTGGTTCTTGCGCAGGCGGCGGCGCTGCGCAAGAACTACGACGAGAAGGTCAAGGAGTTCATGAGCCAGCTCGGCAAGGAGTACATCGACTCCAATGTCTTGCTGGTGACCTGGACAAATCCCAGCCTCATCGACTGCCTTGCTGGGCATCCGCTTACGAAGGATGGGGCGGCGAAGTTGTTTGTGTGGAATGCTGGCCTTGATGCGACGACGGGGCCCTCTGCGCGCGTTTCCATCTACAAGATGAAGGCTGCTGCGGATGAGGCGAGGATGGACTCCGCCATCGACATGACGGCGAAGTTCATGAAGGATCTCGACAACGCCCTCTTCTTCGCTGGGCGCAACGTCTTGATCGCAAAGGATCTCAAGAAGAAGCTGCAGGCCTTGAAGCCAAAGGTGGGGATCAAGGACATGCAGATCAGCCCCGACGAGGAGACCTTGCTGAAGCTTCTACACGGAGAGGGTCGGAACCAGTATGCTTCCCTCGACCCCGTGCCTGAGCCCAACTTTTTTATGTGTAGTAACGTCACTTGGGTCCTAAACGCTAAACCCTAAACCCAAAACCCAATAAACCCTAAACACCCTAAACACCCTAAACCCTAAACCCATGTTTCCATCGATCTCAGGTTGAAACCTTCTTCCACGTCGTGAAGGACAAGAAGAGCTGGAGGGAGCGCCGCCCCACGAGCAGGAGGTTCTTGTCCGGAAACACGGCCTTCAGGACGATCCAGGCCGCCCCGATCCTTGAAAAGGCAGCAATGATGAAGGTGCCATCGAAAGAACGTGATGCCATTCTCCGGGGAGTGGTCGGCACGGACAAGTGGACGCCTGGCCTTGCAAAGAGAACCAGCGGCGGCGGCAGTGGGGCCGCGAGCAGCGGTGCTGCAGCCCCTGCAGCCCCTTCGGCCCCTGCGGCCGGTGGAAGCGACGAAGAAGACGATGATGACGGCGTGGAGAATCCCTTGGAAGGGACCACCGATGCGGATGGCAATGTGGTTCTCTTCCACATGGAGATGCATCCAAAGGTCTGCGTCATCATATTCGTAAACGTGTATAATCATAGTTTTTAATCATAGTTTTTAATCATTGGTCGTGGTTCAGACGCTGATTAAGTGTCTTTGAGAAGACGGGTGTAGCCATCAACCTGAACGCCCTTAACTTTCATGTGCTCAGGTCTGTGCTCAGCTGTTGTGGGAGAACCAGACCCGAGTCTTGGTGGACTTCAGCCCGGGAAGTGGCATGATGGCAAAGACAGCGCTCAGCATGGGCGTGAAACTGATCCTCGTGGCCTTGAATGATGCCCACAAGTCTTGCCTCCAGCGGGTTCTGGCGGCGTACGTGAAGAATCACATGGATGCTGACACAGCCGGGTTCGCGCCGCATGACAAGGCCCAAAAACTCGAGGCCTTGAAGCCCAATCGGCTCAAGTTGTATGAGTCGCGCAAGGGCGTGACCTCCGAAGCTCAGCCGCCGCTACCAGGAGCTGGCAAGGCAACCTTCGAGAAGTCCGTCAATGCCGCGCTGGAATCCTTGCAGACAGGGACTGCTTTGCCGCCTGCAAAAAGGGCGCGAGTGGAGCCAAAGCCAAAGCCTGCTCCAACTCCCAAGCCAACGCCGACAGCGCCAAGTGAGTCTGCTGCGACGGAATCAGAATCCGCGCCAACCGATTCTGTTGCCGACTTGCTGAAGATGTTTGGGTAGAAGCCGATTGATCTTCAAGATGGGCGTGCAAGGGCACGTTCATTCCTCCAAGTTGCTGCTTTCCGATTTTGGGGCCGAGGCAGTTGATGATGTGAAAATAAATAAGAGACTGATTGCAAGAAATCCACGCTAGCAATTCACTTGATGCTAGCTTCTGCCCCGGAGGTTGGCAGCGTGAGTGGAAGAGCCACTCAGCTTTTGCGAGCGAGTTGCCTGCAATTTTGGGGCAAGGGCCTCAAACCTTCCAGAAGGCCACCACCCTGCGCAGCGCAGCCTTAGAAGAAGAGCCACTTTTGGCACGGAAGTATCTTGGGACGCCTTTGAGACATTGGGCTGCAGAAAGCAGCCTCGACCATGAGGCGCTCTGTCCTTCGGAATCGGCCGCTGAGAGCGGTGTCCTTCAGATAACAGATGATGGCGCTGCAGCAGCTGGTTCCTCTTTTGCAAGTCCCCGGTGAAAAGCCGTAACACAAGCACCTTGCCTTGGCCTGGGACGAAAAGAACTTTCAGCTAATTGCCACCGTTTGGCAAATAATTAAAGGCCTTTCAAGCAACTTCTTCAGCAGCCTTGCACCTGCGCTTCGTTTTCCCTGAAGATTTTGGGCTTGCCGCTCTGCTGTAACTGTAATTGGACACGCCCGCACGCCTGGCCATTTGCGCGGAGCTGAGTGCAGGTGCAGGTCAATTCAGGGTGGAGTTTAGAATAATTTGCAACAATGGGTTCGGGCTTACGCTGAGTTATGCTGGCGCGAAAGGTCATGTGGAGACTGCTGGTTGTCGCATTGATCAGCTGTGTTGCAGCTGGTGGCTTCCCCGACTATCCAAAGGCAACTCTTGAGAATCGTGGAGATGCCTGGAGGCAGGTTGCGTTGTTTTTTTTGAAGCGCCGCCTATCGTTCTCCAATTTTCTTTGGCAAGTGACCAGTGGCAGGCTTCCGCGGGTTCTCTTTGCTGACTGGACTCAGCCGGGAATGACGAAACCACGGGCGCAAGATCGCGAGCTGGTTTGGACAGTTCCAGATGCCGTCTTGGACTTGATTCCAATGAAGATCCGCAAAATCCTTTCGTGTGACAAGGGTCCTTTACGGGTCGTGCGAAACTTGGATGTGCTGGATATGTTCGGCGGTCGGGCTCGGATCAGTCGCTGGGCGGAGCTTCTCTCGCTCAAACCGGCTGCCCTGGACCGGGACCACTCCCAGCACTTGGACTTTCTGACGGACGGTGGACTGGCCATAGCCATCGTGAGCCTCCTGAGACTGCGACGGAAAGCACTTGCATTCCTAGGGCCCCAGTGCTCGTCATGGGTATGGCTGAGTAGATCAGTCACGAAGCGTTCCGCTGGCAACCCTCTCGGTGATTCCAGCGTCCAGTGCGTGGCGGACGGCAACCGTCTCAACCAGATCTGCGCGCTCTTTGTTACCATCTGCTACCATTGTGGTGTGGAATGGTGCGTGGAGCAACCAGCATCAAGTCTCTTCTTTCATACCCGAGTCTGGCTAGCCGTGATTCGTGAACAGAACCCGTTCGAGAGGTTTGTTCACTTGAAGCAGTTTGGACATTCGTCTACCAAGAACACTCTGCTCGTCGGCCTGCCGCAATTGCTGGCAAGCATGGGCAAGGAACTGAGCGCTAAGGCCAAGCGCAGGGGATGCAGAAAGATTAGGAAGGCACCAGCAAAAGCCAAGGCAAAAGCCAAGGCAAAAGCCAAGGCAAAAGCCAAGGCCAAGGGCGAGAACCAGCCAAAGGCCAAAGCAAAGCGCGCTGCCCAGGCAAAGCCGGCAACGTCAGGGGCCAGCTCAAGCAAACAGGGCCTTGCAAAAGTTTCCTACCGAGCTGACGGGAAGCGTCTGGTGTCGGGGAACCCGGCTGAGTTAAAGAAGTCGCAAGAGTATCCTGTCAAGTTTGCCTTGGCTATTGTGAAAGGGCATTATCCGGAGGCGAAATAGTTTCAACTGCCAAGATAATTTGGCAATGCTTTTTGGTGTCAGCCTCGGGCCCCAGGCAAACAGGCTGTCCTGTAAACCACGCTACCATGCAGCTATATACTGAAGTACAACCATCTAGCCATCTATGATCCTAGTGGAACACTGGTGTCTGGGCTGCGCTACATGTTACGCTGGGGCAGGGCTGAATACGACTGAACGGTTCGTTGTCGTTCACGGGTACTTACAGATAGGGCTACTATATAAGTACCAATATACATTGTTGGAAGCGGGGTGCCCAGGAACGTCGAAGTAGTTCGGTTTGAGCACATGTCTTCGATTGCGCACGCCGTGAGATGAAAAATGGGGCTCGCGCGCTGTGTTCTTGAAATGTCTCAAGCAAACCCTGGGTTGAAGAAATGCCTCTTGAGTCCGAATCGTCTCACGCGCCCGCCCGAGCAACTTATTACTTAGGCATGAAGTAGTCATGAGTAGACAAATCCTATGAGTAGCAAAACTCCGAACACCTTCCAAATGCCGAGAGGGTTGTGCATCTAAAGCTACTGATTTGTCTTCTTGACTACTGATTGCAATCTGTTTCATGCTTACGGGTGAACAAATGGGACAGTGAATCTTACCCAACCCAGTCCAGTGCAGGCAAGAAGCCCGCGAGAAGCCGGCAGGCCGGCCACTCATTTTGGGGGATCCTGGCAACGTGCCACTTGCACACCCTTGCATTTAAGTTACTAGGTAGGACACGACGTTGAGATACTGAGAGGCACTGCGCTGATTAAGTGCACACGCCGCTGAGTAAGTGGCACAGCATCCGTTCCAACATGAATCATGTCACCCGCCCGTGGGCCAGGCCACGAACAAGCCCACCCGATCCTGCTGGCCGCTGGCTGCCAGGCACGGCGGGCGTCATGCCTCATTGCAAGCAGTCTTCCTAGCTCTTTGTAGTCACTCTTGCTGCACTTACGCAGCGGCCCCTTTATGACCACACTTGCCACTTAAGCAGCGGCTTCACCTAACATTGTACGGAAGCGAAGGCCTATAGACATGTCTCCCAACTCGAACCCCACCCAACCAAACAACTGCCTGAACGCCCCTACAAGCACTCCCCGCGACCTTGCAGGGACAATTCTGACTCGAGCCTGTCTTGGCCTTGGCCTTGATGACTCAGCCTCAGCTTGCTTGCGTGGGTTGCTGCTCTCAACACAGGGCCACAGAAACACTGATGACTGAGCAGGGCCCTTGCATCTAGCCTCACTGACTTTGTAATAGCTCCTTCCTGCGTGGTTCCACTTCTCAGGCTCGAGTTTTTGCTGGGTCTGGTCTTTAGTGAAAGCCTGTGAGGCGCCAGGCGAGTTTCTCGGCCGGCAGCATGGCTGGCTGGAACGAAGCTGACTGGTGGCAGTGGTGCCAAAGTCAAGAGTGGAGTGGCAACGAGCAATGGGCACCGCAGCAGTGGCATGTCAAGGCTGAGCCAGCGTCGCCCTGGCCGCAGGGGCAACCGCAAGGGCAACCGCAAGGACAGGAGTGGCGTGTGAAGCCTGAGCCGTCGCCGTGGCCGCAAGACCAACAGGAGCAAGTCAAGGAGGAGCAAACGTGGGCCTGGCTGGAAGGACAACAGGAGGAGCAACAGGAGGAGCAACAGGAGGAGCAACAGGGGAACTCAAACCAGGAGTCGCCGCAGAAGCAGGACACCCCGCGAGTTCGTAAGACCTTTCCGGGGCCGAAAGATGCCTCGCAGGTCCGCCGCGAACAGATACATAAGTTGACCCTCGAGGTGAAAAGCCTCAGGGAACAGATCAGCGAAATCAGGGCCAATCACAACGTTGAAAAAAAAGTGCTGACGATGGAGAACGATGCAGCTATCAAGAAAAGGACGACCAGTGCAAGGAGAAGCTGGCTGCCAAGGAGGACCAGCTCGACAAGCTGAGCAAGGACTATTTGGCACAATCTGCGGACGTGCAGAAGCTGTCAGACTTGGTGGCATCCAAGGACGCCTTGCTCACAGAGTGGCAGAATTGCCACACGTCGTGGGTGCAGCTGCTCCAAGGCCGGGAGGAGGCTGTCAAACATGCCCAGGCCGAGACGGAGCAAGCCAAGACACAGAAAGAGGAGGTGGAGCGAAAGGCTCGTGAGGAGTTGGAACAAGCCAAGAAGGAAGGGAAGGTGGCCCTTCAGAAGGCAATCGAAGAGGGGGAGGCCAAGCACGCGAAGACCCTGAAGGATCTGGAGCTGATGACGGAAAAGGTCCAGGACATGATGGCCCAGAGCATGCCGCCAAAATCCGTTGTCGGTACCTTAGAACCCTCAAGTGCAAACTTGAACTGACAACTCCTTGACATGTAATTCCTTGCTTCACGTCGACCCTCAAAAGGCCAAGAAAGACACAAAGAAGGACAAGGAAAAGGCGAAGGACGACAACAAGCCGGCAAACAAGCGAGGTTCAAATGGATCGAAGGCTCCTCTCTGGTATAACCCGTGCTTTACTTGTAAACTACCTAATTGACGTGTGACTTGTGAGGCGGACCCTGTAGCCAAAGCCGCGAAGGTGACGGAGGCCGCTGGCTCCAAGGACTGAGACCCACGACGTGCAGGGAAATGTTGGCCGACAGTCTCGCTCTAGTGCCAGGACACTGGCAAAAAGAAGGGCCTGGAAGTGAAGGAGGAATTGTGGCAATTGAGCAGTTGTCTTGCTTGCGAACTAAGGTCTATAGTCTATAGGACAAAAACTCAATGCAGACCTCAGGAGGACGCCACCGGCGATGTGATTCCGAAGGCTGCCAAGAAGGACACCTGACGTGTCCCGGAACCGTTAGACAGCTTCGACGCTCTGTCTGTTTGAAGCAGGAGACCAAAGGCGGCAAGGACACGAAAAGCTAGGCCAGCCCTCTGAAGGGAGCCACGGATGGTTCTTTCGCGTGCTCGGGGGAATCGGTGCGAGTAGCTGGATTTGAATTACAAATAGGAAGCTTAGCAACCTTAGATTTCACGGAACCGGTTCCCTTGGTGGCACCTCGCTTTAGAGCCCAGAGGATGCTATGATTCTTGTCTTGCGCGTTACGTAGCGTAGTCGCATTACAGAAGCAAAAGGGTAACTTTAGACACTCTGGTGCTTGCTGTAGCTACTCAGCATGTCTGCGGTTTGGGAGTGTGACATAAGTATTAAATACTCCCTGATTTTGGCCTTGGGGTTTGTACAATACCTGAAAGGTGGCATCGCAGCATCTCCCAAACCCCGAACGGACTTGAGCGGGACCCGTGCTAAAATGGCGCTACTCCGTTTTCTTCACGCAAGATCAGGGCGACGCCTGTGTGCCCAAAGCCTACAAGCCAATGTTCGCCAAGGAACTTGCGCTGCGCGGCCCGGATGAGCCGGCTTGGCCTCCTGCCCCATGCAAGGACTGAAGGAATCTTCTGATCGGGAGTTGGAGGGTCAGGCTTTCGGGCTTGTCTTGAGGGAGGCACAGGCCTTGGCCTAATTTGCCTGGCCGGTTCCCAGAATATAGGATATGATAACATATGCAAATTATATTGATGATGAGATGTGCCACACCAGAGGGCCTGCCAGCTGGACCGTACAGATGCGAGAGCGCCGATTTCGCCACTATATCAGCGGCACTACAGCAGCACACTCGTACAGCGTGCTCTAGATACTTAAACCTGAATTAGGCCACTTAATCAGCGGCGCCACTTAATCAGCGGCTCCTACAGCACACTCGTGCAGCGTGCCCTAAACCCTAAACCCCTAACCTGCTAAACCCTGAAATAGCCCGCCGCTTCCATCCAGCCAGCGGTGGCCCATGTGTTCCTGAAACTTGCCATGATGTGGCCTGGCGCTTGGGAGTCCGTGGCCTGAGGGGGCTGTTAGGGTCTAAGGGGGTCTAAAGGTTTTGGGGGTTGTGGCTACGGGACAAAAAAGAGGGGGGTGCCAAAGTGAGGGTTTGCAAGTTTTAAGATTTGGAGGCAGGAAAGCTAAGGCCTGGGCATGGTGTTAAGCGGTTTATCTTGCAGTTTTACAGCAATCATGTTGCGGAGTCTGAACTTGGTTCCGGAGTCTGTTCCCAAGAATCCAGACATAAATAAAATAAAAATAGACCCTAAATCCTACAACCAAATCTGAGGCGAGTTCCTGGCAGCTTGTCTCCACGCACAGCTACACGCCCTGGAGGGCCCAGATGACCTGCATGGCGAGGACCCTCGGCGAAAGGGGCAGATCTCTATGTTATGAACGCCTTTGGTCAGCCTAAATGTATCAGTCTCCTTGCTATGGCAGGAACCACAAGAGACCCTAAACCCAAAACCCTAATTAAACTCTAAACCCCAAAAGAGACCCTACCCCCAGAACCCTCAACTCTAGACTCTACAAGGTCCAAGCCTAAACCCTAAACCCTACAAGGTCCAAACCCTAAAGCCTCAAGCATACCAGCACCGCCCCAACCTACCCACAATGGTAGGGTATACAAGCCTCCTTTATTGAAGGGTAGTTGGGGGGGTGCAGCTGAACCTAAACCCTAAAAGCCCTAAACCCGAAACCCTAAACCCTAATACCCCAGGCTCTTTCCAACCGCGCCTTTTCAGCCCTGGACTCGAATGGCGACGGCCTGGCAACCCGAGGAGCCTGTGATCGTTCGGGGTTTAGGGCTTGGGGTTTCGGGTTTGGGGTTTGGGTTTGAGGGTTTCGGGTTTAGGGTTTAGGGTTTAGGGTTTAGGGTTCCGGGTTTAGGGTTTAGGGTTTCGGGTTTAGGAAGTTCAGGGTTTAGGGTTATGAATTGGGGTCCTTGGACTTCGTGCAGTTGTTTATTGAGGTGGCCGAACTCAAGCCAGTAGGGGCGGTATGCAACCCTAAACCCTAAACCCTAAACCCTAAACCCTAAACCCTAAACCCTAAACCCTAAACCCTAAACCCTAAACCCTAAACCCTAAACCCTAAACCCTAAACCCTAGACCAGCCCAGGAGACATCCTACGTTTCTTCCACACGGACCAGGACCCTTGCGACCTCTCGTGTTGGGC